TTGCAGTTTGAGGGTCAGATACGGCTTAGTGTGCTAAAAAAATTTCGGAAAATTTCAGAAGAAAAAACGCTCGAATTTTCAAAAACGCGAATTTTCGGGAATTTCCACCGTCAAAATCCGATTTTTAAAAGCCTAAACCTATTTTCGGAATTTCTCAAACAAGGAGAGCGAAAAATAAAAATTCGCGAAAATTTCGGTCCCAACCCTAATTTTCCGCGTTTCGGCGAAATTTCCGGATTTACGGTCCCAAAACGTTCGAATTTCCCCAAGTTGATCTAAAACCCAGAGATTCTCGTAACCCTAATTTCCAATACTGAAAGACAACGGAAATCCAAAAGACAACGAAATATAGGATTTACAGCAAAAAATGCCGAAAACGGAATGCTGAATGGACATCAGAAATGCCGAATTTCGACATGATACTGATTCAACCCTAATTCGTGTAACCTCAGAAATCCGAAACTTAATCAATTATCGGATTAGTATTACTCAATCAGAACTCAAATAGCAGCATACCGGAAGAAAACGGAAATCCGAATTATAAGTCCGAATACCGATTTGAACGGAAATGCTGAACTAAATAGAATACCGAAAAAGAGGAAATTTTTTTTTGCAACTTTGAACTCGATAGTAATTCAGCGCTGATTGGGAAGATTGAAGAACAATCTAATTCCTAACCAGACTTACCTTTGTGAGCAGATCCGTTTTATGGTCTGCTCCGATACCAAAACTGTTGCATACTCCAATGAGTATGGGCAGAACCAAGAATCAACCAATGTAGGATGAGTATAGATGCAACGGAAGTCTGATAAACGGACTGACTCACATAGCATCACTCCACACACATACAATCGTGAGATGGTGGGGTCTGAGCTATACATAGAAGATGCTCAGCCCCGTACACAACATACACAGATGAATGGGGGAGGAGAGACGAAGGAGGTGGGGCAGGTAGACAGCACTGAAAGTCACCGRGATAGAAATCTGATAGGTCACCGATATGGTAGTCCAAAATGTCATCCAACAAGATCAAAATGTCGAGGACCATAGGKCAYCAATGTCGGAGATACAGAGTCCAAATGTAACCGGTGTCCGAACTGTGATGTCGCCAAGTATCAACCCCAACGATCTCCAAGTCTCCAATCTGGTAAGTACCACAGTCTCATACCACCGAAGTCCCACTCTGATCTCTGTCCAACTAGCATAAGTCTCTAGTCTGAAGAAGAAGAAGAAGAAGAAGAAGAAGAAGAAGAAGAAGAAGAAGAAGAAGAAGAAGAAGAAGAAGAAGAAGAAGAAGAAGAAGGAGGAGGAGGAGAGAGAGAGAGAGAGAGAGAGAGCTGACGAGGGAGAGAGGAGAGGTCCTCCGGCTCCCAGGTACCTCAGGCGGCAATGGCCGCCGTGCTGGCTCAGTCGCCCTGCTGCTGCTCCACTTGCTGCTGCGCTAATGCTGAGCTGCCGCTGCTGCTCCTTGCTCGCTCCTGCGCTAAACTTAGCGCATCAAAACAGCGCTCTGGCGCTGACCATACCGTACCGGTATAGTGCCGGTAGGTCGATGCCTCCAAGTGAGGCTGTACTGGTACTTTATACCGGTGGGGCAGAGGCCGGCCTCAATGCTGCGAGGCCTGGCCATGCCCTGAACCGTCCAGATGGACGGTTCAGCCCCAACCGGCAGGCGGCAGCCTCAAGAGCGCCGCCAGGCCCAAACGATAATGCCGTTTGGGCCTGCCCGTCGGGTACTGGTCCAAGATCAGGCCCTGAGGGCCTGTACTATCCCAAGGTCGGCCTTTAGGCCCTGATGTGTCCCTCCGGCCCTAAGTCGGGTCCGGTAGGACCCGTGTGCGTCGAAGATGTAACAAAAAGGAGCAAGGGATCTTTCAAAAGAACTTTGAGCGTCAATGTGCTTTCTGCAACTGACAACCACGTCAGTCTCATGGATAGAAAACGTGACCACAGAAAAGACGTGGTCCAAGTTGTGTTGCAACCTTGCAGGAAGGGAACAAATATGTGTCTGCTCTGTCAGCTGATATGCAGGGGAGTCATGTCATCTGGTAGGCAATGAGGTGCCCCTCCACAGTATGAGATGGCCACCAGATGCACAGCTGATATGCAGGGGAGTCATCTGCTAGGCACAGCGGTGCCCATCCGCGCTGTGATATGGCCACCACATGCCTCCCCTGCGTATCTGACACACCGAATGGTGAATTCCTACACCTAGAATGCCAGGATAATCAATAACAGTTTGTAACTTGTCATTGTCTCGAGTCACATGACAATATTTTTCAGTGGATTTGAAGGCCAGGTCAGGGCTCAAGGGTCGGTGCATTTTCCATGAGTTGGGCACACAGCAACCAACTAAAGGTCTGAGGTTGTACAATTAATTATACAAGCATGACACTAATGATTTGGATTAAGAAAAAAGATTTGGAATATGTTACTGATCAATGTATTGGTTTTATGAACTTACGTGCGAGCAGCACAATTGATGTCAAGCGACAGCAAATGAAACAAAACTTGACAGAACTCGATCAATGGCCACTGCAATGTACAATTCTGTTTGCGACTTCATTACAATGGCTTAACTTCAACCATATGAGTGGGAATGGGAGACGAAAGTCATCGTTCCTGATGCCAAGCCACTGGTGATCATGCACAGCGCTACAAACATCCAGGCGGCCCGTTGGAAGCTTGCATTGTTTTCCAAGCATGCCCGTGCACTAGTGTGTCGTGCCCCTACAGAGCTACAAACATCCGGGCAGCCCGTTGGCAGTTTGTACTAGTCCGGCCAGCTTCGTGCTTTCCAAGCATGACCATGGCTCTAATGGAGTGTGCCCCTAATAATTGAGTTGGAGAGCTTTCGGCTTTGAAGCGAAGAAGGGCCAAGAAGGGGGTTGAGGACCATTGCCCACTCCATTTTGCACTCCTATGATGATCTCCTGCATGCCATCTTTGATCTTGCGATTGTTTGAACTTGAGTGAGACCACGTTGGTTCAAGTCGTGTGCGCTAGCCGATTCCCAATTGGAAAAGGGCATAGGGTCTCAAACCAGATGCCCGCCAGGTCACCCAGCCTATATAGCTGAATGAATGGTGCACACGTGAAGCTGTTGGCAAACAAGTCATTAGTTGGAATCCTGCTGTTGTCAGAGGAATACAATGATGTTGGCCGCCACCCCCTTAATAAGAAGCAAACAAGCTCTGCATGATCACAGTCCACACAAGTGAAGTACGTGGATAGCATGCAGGTATTAGGTCCATTCAAGGGCCAATTCTGAATTGGAGAACCCTTGAAGATGTCCGGCCTAGGTCCTGGGTGCAAACTCAGGCACATCACACATATGAACAATTCGTTTGACACGTTTGCCAATCTTCTTGCCTTTGATGGAATGGTTGCAGATTGTGTCCGTAGGTGCTGAGCCGTACTTGACTCGTCTGAACTTCGATGGGAAAGTATTATCACGAATTGCATGTGCGCCAAACTCGTCCTTCGCTGCCGCGATGCATCCATCAGGGGTGAGTGAATCTCTCTGTGAAACATCCGTATTCTCTTATTCCCTTTCTGAAGCAGTTGCGCACTACGCTACCAGAGTGGCCCGGTCGGGCCAAAAAAGAATTAAAAAATATATAAAAATATAGTTTATTTTTTATTTTTTATTTGGTAAATAATTTCGATGTGTCCCTGAGGCAATAGTTGTTCAGTTTATTTTTCTGCATAACATAGTTTTTTTTTCCGATTTTTTTTTTTTTTTTTTTTTGATGAGACATTCCCTGGTCCTTGCACGGCCGGACCGCCCAGGAAAACAGGGTGACCCGGGCGACCCGGCTGGTAGCCTAGGTTGTGCATCAATTTTATTTATTTATTTATTTTTTCTTACCACGGGGCTATAATGCCCATCAGAGATGTCCTATCGGTCACTGACTAACCTTCTAGGCCAACATGAAAGTACACACCCATCATATGTGCTGCTGACTACCCAAAACAACATGTCTGCTTCCATTGGACTGTATGTTCATACTACTGCTAGGTTTCTTAATAAAATCGATGTGACTGCATGGCAGTGTCCATATGAGTTGGTCAAACTCCAACGAAACAGTCTGTCACAGCCCTCTGGTTCTCGTCCTTGTCCCTTTCTGCCCACAGTTCGTTGGACAGTTCTCTATGAACTGTGTCGATTTCGTACTTACTCATCTGGGTGGAAACGGGGCTGTTGTGGTGACAATTTGCAACACACACACCAGAATGGTTTCAGTGTGCTTCACGTTGTCTGCTATTTTATGCTTTTTTTTTGGAAAGTTCGCTCTTTTAGGTGAGAGATATTTGCATGGTAACCGTCCGGACGTCCGGACCGGGTTCCAGACAGTCCGGTGTCCGGTGTCCGGTCCTCATGTCCGGATGGAGGCCCCTGGGGCAAAAATCAAAAAGAAAATGGGGCCCAGGGCGTTTATCGGGTCCTAGCGGCCCCTCGAAAAATAACGGGGTGATTTTTAAGTGTCCTTTCACCCCACCGGACATGTCCTAGAGGTCCAGACACAAGACACTGCAGGTTTTTGAGGTGGGAGGGTTTCGCACAGGCCCGAGCAATTTCAAAGCAGCCGTTTCAAACGTGGTGCCCGCCGCTGCTGCCTGTTGGGGAGGAGGGGGACACAGAGAGAGAGAGAGAGAGAGAGAGAGAGAGAGAGAGAGAGAGAGAGAGAGAGAGAGCACTGACAGTGCTGCCAGTCTGAAGACTCTGACGTTCTGAATTGAACTGCAAAGTTCGAACTTTTAAGTTGTATATGAAGTTATGAACTTCAATTACTAAATCCAAAGTTCAAAGTTCAAAGTTAATTTACTAAATCCAAAGTTCAAAGTTCAAAGTTAATCATACTTTTTTCAAAAAAGAAATTCTCTCTTTCTTTAGTCTTGTGCCTGCTTTGCACTGTTTGCAACTCTGCATGTTTGCTAGTTAAATGTGCTGGTTGATTTACTGCAAGACACGTGCTCTGCTGCCTGAACTACAGAGTGCAAAGCAGGTAAGTGCC